CCACCCCCACCATCCCCTGTCCACCCCCTCCCCATTTCTCTTCCCATTTCCAGTCCCCACGACAATTAGTAACTCCTCGGCGCTTGGCAGGAGGCCCGAGGGGTTGGATTTATTGCAGTTCGTTAGCATACAGCTGACCCCGCCGTGCCGATTCGTGGATGCCTCTTCCCAAGGTCCCCCCCAATGGCTGCCTGGAGCATCCTCCCATGGGGATGGGCTGCACCCCGAATTTCTCTCGCATCCGTGGGGAGCGTGGCGTGGCCGAGCTCTGGCTGCATCGGGTCACGTCTCTGCTGGCATCGCCGTTGGTGCTGGTGGGGCAGGATGAGCCCTGGCGTGGGGGCTGTGAGGGCGGGATGGGCCGTGGCGCTGAGGCATCCACCGGCATAGTAGCGTGGTCCCGGTGCCACGCAGGATGCAGCAGAGGGATGGAGATCCCCGAGGGCCAGTGGCACACACCTCGGGCGAGGATGGGAAACCTCCATCTTCTGGGCAGCGACTCTATGAGCTGCCCCCGGCCAGGCCGGGACTGGTGTTAGCATTCCACTGCAAACCCCACAGGACAGGCACTGCTGCCGGGGCACTGAGCTCTATCACCCAGCGGAAGGGCCACACGATGTGTCCCCAAAAACCCCTTTCCCAGGGGTGCTGACCCTGCTGTCCCTTCCGCATCTTCGCTGCGCTGTGTCCTGGGCACCACGGGCCGCTGTAGGACCGAGCCCTTGGCATCCCGGAGGGGGCCTGGATGGCTCAGACCCCAGCGAGGTGCCAGGGAGAGGCACTGAATTAATCCCAAGGTTCATCCTCCCCACAGCGGGGAGCGAGCTGTGGCCAGGAGCCTCCTGCCAGGGTGGGCCGAGCAGCAGCAGACACTACGGCTGCTAAAGGCGGTTGAAAACCAGGAAAAAAAATCAGCTCGGGGCTACGACAAAGGCTAGAGGGACCCACGCTCCTCCTGCGGCTCGCGCTCGGCAAAGCCCTTCGCTTCTCTCTGTTTCGGTTCGAAAGACACGAGGTTGGAAGAGCAGCCCTGGGGCGACACGAGCAGCTGCACCCTGACCACGCCAGCAGCATCCCGGAGCATTTTGTCCTCCAGCATCACCTGCCGCTGCCGGCCGACGGTCCTGCCCCAGTGCCGCCACAGCCCGGGAGCATCGTCTGCCAGAACCACATGGCACTGTCCCCTCCCTGAAAATGCCACCACAGCCGCCCCTGCCACCCGCACACGGAGCCAAAGCCACCAGAGAACTCTGGGTGGTGCCACGCGGGGACAGGGCAGGGGTGACAACAACCCCCTGCCTGGCCTGGGTCCGGTCTGGGTAGTCGCAGCACAGCGGGACCCGATGGCGAGGGGACAGAGCGGTGGCCGTGGCGGGATGGGGACAGGCAGTGCCAGGACCACGGGTAGGGGGGGGACAGATGAGATGTCACCGGACAGAGGGACAAGGGTAGGACAGCAAGCAGGATGGGGCGGGGGGGGGGACACAGTGCCACGAAGCCTCCTTACATTTGGGTGGGAGCCCTCGGCGATGGTGGAGAGGGAGAAGTTGTCGTTGTGCAGCTCGGACGGGGTGCGGTATCTGCCGGGGGGAGAGGAGACCATGGCAGTGAGACTCGGGGTGCCACTGAGCACCCCCAGCCACATTTTGGGGTGAAATCAGTCTTGTCGGGGGGTTAAATGCCCACAGCACTGGAGGTCTAGGGGCTAAATATCCCCAGGGATGGAGATCTGGGGCTAAATACTCCCAGATGTGGGGGCTTAGGGTCTAAATGTCCTCAGCTCTGGCATTTTGGGGGGGCTAAATGCCCCCAGATATAGGGTTTGGGGTGCTAAACATCCCCAGAGATGGAGATATGGAGGCTAAATGCCCCCAGCTCTGGCATTCTGGGGGGCTAAACATCCCCAGGGATGGAGGTTTGTGGCTAAATACCCCCAGATCTGGCATTTTTGGGGGCTAAATGCCCCCCGATATAGGGTTTGGAGGGGTACACATCCCCAGGGACAGAGATATGGGGGCTAAATGCCCCCAGCTCTGGGGATTTGGGGCTAAAGACCCCCCAGATGTGGGAAGGTGCAGGCAGGTGCAGGCAGGGGAGTGGTGAGGGCAGCTGAGGGCAGGCAGGAGCTGCAGGCTCCCAGGGCCTGAGAGGGAGACCCATGGGCTGGCAGGCAGCTCCACTGCTAATTAGACTTGGCAATTCCAAACACTAATTAACAGCTCGTTAGGGACCCAGGCTGAGAGGGCTTTCTCCTCTTGGGCTCCAGGGAAAGTGGGCAGCAATTGCTGGGGTGGGGGGCGTGACCCCAACCTTTGCCCTGTCTTCTCCCCCCCGAGCCCTGTCCTCAGGGACACACTGGGGATGATCTCTGGTGGCCCCTGAGCAGCATGGCGAGCCCAGTGAGTGGTCCCAGCTCCCAGCGCAGCCGATTAACTGGTGCCAGTCAGGAGAAGCTTTTAAAGGATTAACGGTGGAGCAGGAGCCAAAAGCCACGTCCCCGCCGGCCACCCGCCTCCGGGAGCTTTCCCACCCACTGTCACCTTGTCCCCATTGGCGTAGGGGGTCCCGATGACACTGTGAGGGGGGGACGGCACCACATCCAGCCCTGGGGGGTGCTGCTGGCAGGAGCTGAGACCACCCAAATCTTTGGTGGCTCTCGGGGTGCCACCCTGCAGCAGTTTGAGGGGTGCCAGCCCCGTCCCCATGGCACTCACTTGGTCTTGCGCAGTTTGCTGTTCTCCGTCTTGAGCAGGTAGAGCTTCTTGGCGAAGAAGACAGTGAGCATGAAGAGCAGCAGCACCACGAGGGCGGCTGAGCCCACGGCCACACACATCACCTGGAAGTCGGTGACGATGGCCTCGCAGCGCGTGCCCTTGTGCCACGTGTAGTCCTGTGTGTTGCACCTGCAAGGGAACGCGGTTAGGGACCCCCCCACCCCAAAAACCATCCCCACAGGGGCATCTCTCATCAGAGAGATTACAGGGGATGAGGTTAATGGGTCCCCAAGGGCCGCCCTGAGAGGAGTGACTCCCCCCCAAACACTGTGACCAAGCGCAATGGGTGACACTAGGAGTGGGGTTGGGGGTCCCCCTGTTGATGCTCACCCCCTGTGCCCCACATTCCCAGCCCCACGCAGTCCCGGTGGCGGTGGGGAGCGGGGTGGCTGGTGGGGTGAGGGACAGCCCTGTCACACCACACCCCCGTCCGTGTCCCCTGCTCTACAAATCTCCGGTCTCCTCCCCATCTGGTATCTCTTCTTTTTTTTCCTCCGCTCCGTGGCATGCTTTGGTGTGTTTTTGTACAGAAGAAAACAAAAATTAATTAATAATAATACAAAGCCAAAGGCTGTAAATGGTCTTTGGCCGCGTCGTGTCGTGGGGGTGTTTGGTTTGTGCTCCGTGTCTCTCGCTTGGGTTAGTTCAGCGCTGTGATTTCTAAACCTTTGCCGTTCCGCAACTGACTTTTTTTGTACTTTACCCCACTTTTTTTGAAGTATAAGTAAAAACAACGAGGGGGAAAAAAAAAAAAAAAAAAAGGAAGATCTTGAAATAAAACTTTTTTTTTTAAAAAAAAAGTTAAGCCTCTGGCAGGTGCCTGCAATCTCCTGACACACACAGCGGGTTTGGGCTCTGCTCCCCCTGGGTCCCATCTGAGCATCACCTAGGGTGGGTGGTGGGTGCCTGGTCCCCCCCCTCCCTGCCCTCCCCAGCTTTGCCAAGCCAGGGGTGCCAACACGTCCGCTGGAGCGGGGACGCTGTGGGGTGCTGCCATCCCAGACACGCTCGGGTGCAGGTGGGACACCCCGGGATGTTTAGCGGAGGTGCCTGGGCTGCACCCTGCTCACAGGCTCTTCTCCATCCCCATCCCCAAGTCCCCCCACAAAGTGTGGGTGCCCCGGGCCACCAACAGCGTGCTCCTGGCACCTCCAGCCTCTTTTCGATGGAGCTGCCCAGGATGTTAGTGGAATTTAGGCTTGTGCAGCCAAAACACCCCAGGGTTATCACCCCCTCACACCCCACACCCCCCCCCAGCTCCTTGTTTCCATCCAGCAGCTTTGATGATGCTGGCCTGGCTCCTGCCAGTGTAAATCAGCAGCAGCCCCCCCCAGTTGCCATCACCCTGCCCTGGGACCGAGCGTGGCGGTGAGCCAAAACTCACAGCTCCTCGGGAGAGAGGAAATGAAGCAATTAATCAACATACA